TTGTAACGGGCTGAACGCCCTTTGGATAGCTCCTCGATGGAATCTCGGTCAAGCAGCAGACGCCAGGTCTTACTCTGCAACCCGGCATCTGTGCGAGGCCTGAGCGGCGCCCAGACGACGCGCTCAGACACTCAGTGCAACCTTTCTCCGACAAGTAAATAAACACCACGCAAGTAGACTCTATAGCTCTCTATCAAATACAACCTCTTGTATACCTCGCGATTGCTCCCTAGAGCGCAGCCCCTTACATTTTGTATTCGATCCCAATTAGACATAAGCCTTAGGCGGACTGTCTTCTAACTAAGTTTTAGAGCGTGTTGTTAGTGTAAGCTAGTAACACAGAGTTAGTGCTGCAATAGGTACGAAAGGCCTTTAGTGCAGCAAGAAGGTAGACCGTCGCAAGACAGTACACCTAGGGCAGAGCTTCGCAGGAAGTTCAGCCGTGAGAGACAGTAGGCGATTTAGTCGCCCGGGACCTGTCTAGGAAGTCCTACTATGTCTTGGAAAGCCGAGCCGTAGGCGCAACGTCGCGTGATAAACTACCTAAAGGCCACTTGGGCCTAGCGTACAGTTAGCTAGAAGCGGACGTTGTAGTGAGAAGTCCTGTCGATCCTCTATTGGACGGGGTGCAGGCCGTGCGATTACTCTTAATTAGAGACGAGATCCCACAAGCGAGACGGCAAGACGCGAGTCTTCCTAGGGACGCGACACGACAGCAGCTAAACGCTGTTTAGAACCGGCTAGAAGAGAAGTATAGCCAAAGGTAAGCCCTACTAGTCCTCACTAACGAGGAGTAGGCCGCAGTTAAGGACTGCGCGAGCGGATCGAAGGACGATTAGAAGCCCTACACACTAGCAGGCAAAGACAAAAGACGTCTAAAGACGAATTAGACAATGGAGGCCAACGCTCCTAACTTGAACGTTGAAGAGCTAGCGGCTTACGCCACCACTAAGAGCCAGGCAGGAGTCCCAGACGAAGAGATCCTGCGTGAGATCACGCAGATGCTGAGAGAGGACGGATGGAAGGAAGCAGCGATTGGGCCAACGATCGAAGCAGTCGTTAAGCGATCATCAGTCGTAGGGGGGAAGGGCTCACCAAAAGCTAATCAGAACGCCGTGGCCCAAGTAATGGAGCAGATGATGCAGCTGCTCAGCCCAATGGCTAGTCGCCTAGAGGCACTTGAGAGGAACCAAGCCGAAGGACGTTCGGAGTCATCCCCAAGAGTCGACACTCCTCCACCACCGCTAACAACAGTCGCCGAGCTAGCAGCCCGCAAGAATAAGTTTCCCGACCTAGAGCGTTTTAATAGGACACGTGATAACTACCTAGGTTGGAAATTCGAGTGCGAAGGGAAGCTAGAGTACGACCACGCTATGTTCCTAACGGAGGACGCAAAGGTCCGATACGTGCTTAGTCGAACGAAGGGCAAAGCAAACTAGGTCCTTCTTCCCTAGGTGCTAGAGAATAAGGAACGAACTACGGCCGGCCTATGGGAGCACATGGATACTCACTTCTAAGACGTGCACCAGCAGCAGCGTACGCTAAACAAGCTTCGGCACTTAAAGCAAGGACGACGACCAATACGCGACTATGTCTCAGAGTTCAACCAGCTTCGCGTAGAGTCCTGACAGCAGTTCAGCCTAGCAGTAGCTTATGAGATGTTTAGTAAGGGACTTAGAGAAGAGCTCTAAAAGCTAATGCTCTATACTCTAAAGAACAGAAGTCTAAAGGAATATATAGACAAGGCAATCGAGCTTTCCAATGACCTATACCAGATCTAGTTGCACGGGAGGAATCAAAGGAACGCGGCCTACAGTCATGCGCAAGCTCCCCCGAAGGTCGCTCAGCGAGATGCTAGTCCAGAAGCGATGGACTGGGAGCCCTCGAAGGCCAATCAGGCACGGGAAACGAAGGATAGACCAAGGCGGTCCCCACTAGACTACTATAGCTGCGGCGAACTAGGCCACATCGCTAGAAACTGTCCAAACACCACTTGGGTTAAGAGAGCCGTTCCCCCAAGCGAAGGGCAGAGACGCCAGAAACAGATCAAATGCCCAGACGATAGCGACTCGGAAAAAGAGTAGCTCTAGGCCAGAGTCTCGGCCCAGAGCCTCTGAAGATGGATCGGCAGACACGTAGCGAATGGAATCAGTTTCAGCAGAAGCATATGCGTCCCCCACCAATCACCGTAGATCTTATCGTGAACAACGTAGCAAACGCTGTCGCGCTTATAGATTGCGGATGCCTATGCTATACACTAATTAGCAAGAGATTCGCTTACCGCCACTGTCTAGAGCGCTTTCAGATCCCCTCTTAGATGATTGAGGGAGTGAACAGCAAGCTGTTAGAGATTAGCGAGGTCGCCTAATTCTTATTCAAGATGCATAGGTACGAAGAGACTGCTTATGCATACGTAATAGACTTGTCCTCTAGTAAGGACGTGTACCTTAGCAAGGGATGGATGGACCACTAGGACGTATCAGTATCTCCTGCCAAGAAGAGTATTTTTATCCACTTAAAGGGCATTTAAGTAAGGTCGACTAAAGAACGCCTACAAGGAGGAGTTAGCCAAGTCAACGCTGCAGCGTTTGCGGCCTTAGTTCGTAGACATAAGAACGCTCCGAATAGCGTTCAGATCTTCGCCGCGTCGATTGTAGACATTGACAAGGCGCTACAACCGAAGAAGCCCGTAGATGTACGAGCGCTGCTACCAACACAGTACCAGGAGTTCTATAAGCTCTTCAACCTGAAGCAAGCAGAGAAGCTTCCACCGCACCAAGGGCCAGGGGTGGACCACAAGATTAAGCTAGAGCCAAAGGATGCTCAGCCACTGTGGGGACCCCTCTATAGCATGTCGCGCGGAGAGCTCCTAGTCCTTAGAAAGGAACTCACATCGCTTCTTAAGAAGGGATTCATCCGCGTAAGCAGCTCGCCAGCTGCAGCGCCAGTATTGTTCGCCAAGAAACCTGGAGGAGGGCTCCGACTGTGCATCGATTATCGAGCTCTGAACGCAATTACTAAGAAGGACCAGTACCCGCTACCCCTTATCCAAGAGACACTCAACAGCTTAAGCAAGGCTAAATAGTTCATAAAGTTAGACGTTATCGCAGCCTTCCACAAGATCCGTGTCGCACCAGGCGATGAGTGGAAGACAGCCTTCTGAACAAGATTCGGACTGTTTGAGTGGCTAGTTACCCCCTTTGGCATGGCGAACTCCCCAAGTACTTTTCAACGATACATTAACTGGACCTTGAGAGAACACCTAGATGACTTCTGCTCAGCATACCTGGACGACGTACTAATCTACACCGATGGCGATCTGCGCCAGCACCGAGAGCACGTCCGAAAAGTGCTTAGCAAACTGCAAGCCGCAGGGCTACAGGTGGACGTCAAGAAGTGCGAGTTTGAAGTCAAGACAACTAAGTACCTTGGGTTCATTATCGAAGCAGGTAAAGGGATAAGCATGGATCCAGCCAAGGTAGCCGCAATCCGCGAGTGGGAGGCACCAAAGACAGTAAAGGGAGTAAGATCGTTCTTAGGGTTCGCGAACTTCTACCGAAGGTTCATTAAGAACTTCGCGCAGCTAGCCGCACCC